TTTTATGAGTCACATTTGCAAAGGCGACAAAACTCAGGTTAATGATGGATTTTTGTGAAACTTTCCCCGTCTATCGCACCAAGTGTCCACTAAAGGTGGTAGCAGACTCAACTTCATGCATGTTTTAGTTTAAGAAACGCGAATTTTTAAGTAAGCGAGCGCAATTGACTTACAACATCACTTTTGTGAGTCACATTTACAAAGCCAAGAAAAATCTAGCTCAAGATGGATTTTTGTGAAACTTTTCACGTCTATCGGGCCAAGCATCCACTAAAGGTGGTAAAAATCTCGATTTCCTGCGTGTTTTAGTGTTGGAGACGCGAATTTTTAAGTAAGCGAGCGCAACTGACTTACAACTTCAATTTTATGAGTCACATTTGCAAAATCGAGAAAAATCAGGTTAATGATGCATTTTTGTGAAACTTTCCCCGTCTATCGCACCAAGTGTCCACTAAAGGTGGTAACAGACTCAACTTCATGCGTGTTTTATTTTAGGAAACGCGAATTTTTAAGTAAGCGAGCGCAATTGACTTACAACATCACTTTTGTGAGTCACATTAGCAAAGCCGCGAAAAATCAGGTTCAGAATGGACTTTTGTGAAAATTTCCAGTTCTATCGGACTAGGCGTCCACTAAATGTGGTAACAGCCACGATTTCATTTGTGTTTTAGTTTGGAAGATGCGAATTTTTAATTGATCAAGCGCAACTGACTTACAATAGCACTTTTGTGAGTCACATTTGCAAAACCGAGAAAAATCAGGCCCAGGAAGGATTTTTCTGAAACTTTTCACGTCTATAGCAACAAGTGTCCACTAAAGATGGTAAAAGAGCCAACTGCCTGCCTGCTTTAGTCGGCGCGATGTGAATTTTTAAGTAAACGAGCGCAAATATATTTTTTCCAAAAATTCAGGTCTACGACTTGCGCACAATTTTCAATAAAATATTTGGATTTTTTCCCCAAAAATGCATTATTATAGTTGGCCTAAAGTATAACAATCTCTCATGTTTTTCGACATTTAAATGCATATGGAGTTTATACGTTAAAAAGTGTAAAAATGCAAAATATTGTTGGTTTAAAAATTGGATTTCCGACCTTCAAATCCTTCCAGTTTTCTAACCGAGTTTAGTCTTCTAGTCTGAAAATGCTTGTTTGGCACTGAACTCCTCAATCAAGTTTGCCTAAAGTGTAAAAACTATTTGTTATTACTCGACGTTCAAATCGTGAAAAAGTTTACATTTCTTGATCGATTTGAATGGCCTAAAAAGGCGGTTTCCCAGAAGATTGAGCTCTTTGCAACCCAGAATTATTGATCCAAATTGGGGCATTGAGAGAGTTATTAAGAGAAGAACGTCAACAGCAGAAACCAGTTTTTCAAATGTTTGAGTTTTCACCTCAAATGCCCTGGAATTTTGACTCCTTGATCTTCTACTTCTACCAGAAGTTTTAGTAAATAAGTACTTTAACTTAGTCAATGTCTCGTGTAGATAAACGAGCTGATAACTGGAAAGTAGTGAAAATTACAGAGTTCATCAGGTTAATCGCGTTATCAATAAAGAATTCTTAAGTGTAAAGGTACGTAGGAAGAAAATGCGTCAGCACTTGAGGTAATCGCATGACCGATAATTAATTTAGATAAATGACAGTAACAATAGAGCCCTCATATCTACATTCCTTTGGGTTCTCAATGGAATGTTGAGTATAATCTGCACTTTTCACTGAGAGGAAGTTTAATAGAGCAAAATGCTTACGCCTCATTGGTCTTCATCCAAATGGGCGCCGACCAAGCAGAGGCGAACAGTTTGATGGCGCTGCCCCTCAGCTCGATGGCTCGCAAAATGTAGGGAATCTGGAAAAATCATGCAGAGTTTTTGGCCATTCTGCCCATCAATCCTACCTTGTCCTCGTAGTCTTCATCAGTTAAGGCGAACGAATCCAGGCTGTCATCCTCCACATCACAATAAGTGTAGCCTCTTGTTGAGAAGTCGGTTCCTCCAATCGGCACCCGACCCAAACTGTACTGAATCCCATCATCTCCAAAGTAACTTTGGATTAAAAACTCCCGGCTGGCATTAGTCAGGATATTCAAATTAATGCCGGTGGCATCAGTAAAGGCGCCGCCAAAGCCCAGAATTGTTTGGTAAGTTTCGGTCAGATTGCTGATGGTCACAGTGGCATCCGCCTCACTGGTGGAGTTCGCAAAACTCCCAGTTGTAGACGTGAATCCCAGATTGGTTTTGCTGGTTTCGTAAAGCTGATACTGGCCAGACGCCAAACTGGCCAAAGAAGGGACGGAGTCACAATAAGAGGAGTTGCAGACGCAAACTCCCCCGGAGTCAGTAGCGCGAAAACTGCAGGGATTCTCAGCTAGAGCTACAGCCACCAGGAGCGCGAAAGACCAAAGTTTGAACATTGTTTTTCTTTTGGTATGCCACTGCCTACTGAACCAGCAACCAAAACTCCCACCTTTATAAGCGACTGATAAGTCCACAATTAGTTACACTTGACTAGTACTATATGGATGTTTACCTGATAGCGATTCACGCGTTTTCAAAAAAAGTGCTTTTCTTGTCCAATTAAGCGCTATTGTTAGCAGCGGATTTAACATAAGTACTCGAACAATGTTTTTACGAAATTTGGAGCCCAGATGTACAAATAAACGACATTGAACTGCATTTTTTGCACAATCATTTCCAAATGTTCTGGGTTAGCTAAAAAAATAACGTACTTCTCCGTCAAGAGCAACTGCAAAGTCCGGAAGAATTGAATTAGAGGATGCCGAACAGCACTACAGGAAGGTTTAATTTACAAACGAGAGAC